CAGAGTAAAAACAAAAGGTGGCATTTCAAACCACTAGAGAAGTTCCTTCAGTCCCTCCAGAGGCTATGTTTTGTCATGCCGATGACAGTCTTGTGCATGAGCAAACCGAGGAACCTGGACTGTCAACGTAATGAGCCAACAAGGTTTACTTTTCCAGTGCTGAGAAATCACTGAGTAGGATCGTGGCCAGAATTGACTGCTGGTAAAAGGCTGAGATGAGTGTTGTTCTCCTAGAGGATTGCAGACCGATTCTGCCTGCAGGGCATCTCTGCTGAAGGGAAACAAAATCAAATGCTGTGGCATTTGTGGTCATAGGGCTCCTGGGTTCCTCTGGACCGTGCTTTGGAGGAAAGGGTGCCTGGTCTGGGATGTGCCCAAAGAGATTTGCAGAATTGAAACTGATTTTCAGTGCCTTTAAATGCAGAGACTCCCAGTGGACAGGTAGAGGGTAAATTTCAATAATGAACAGCTGTAAAACGTCTGCCATGACTGGCCTCAGTATGGCAGTGCTGCACAGAAATCTGTCTCTTGACTTGTTTAGTTGGCTTGGTGTCCATCCTGGGAGAGATACAAGGTGATGGGAGGAAACAGAGGACACAGAGAAAGCTCCTTCAGTTATTCTGTGGAAGGAGTGTCAGAGCCTCCCTCGTGGTGAACGTACTGGAAAACCACTGCATATCCCTTTCACTTGACGCCTGAGCTTTTGTTGAAACTGTGGTGGTGTGATGTGATGTACTGATGGGGTCAAGCCCCTCGAGTTCCTCACCTCTGGTAAGTTTCTGAAGGCTTCACAGTCAGGTCCCCCAAACCACCTCTCTGTGCTGGAGCATAGGAGCCATGAAGATCAGATTGTTTTTTGCAGGACACAGCTGCATCTCTGGGTAACACCTGTAGCCTTGATGCCTAGACCTGCTTTAGGTCTTAGCTCAGTGAAAGCTTGTGCCGAAAATCTTGGTCCTTGTTTCTGTGGGCAAGACCTCCATGCTGCTTCCCAACATGCGCAGGCAGGGGACATGATGTGCCTTCTGCCCTCACCCACATCTTCATCCCTTCCCTGCTAGGATGCTGGTGTCCACCAGGGCTGGCTGCTTGCTCTCCCCACTTCCTGCACAAGGCTGGCAGATGTTTCTTGTTTGCTGGAGCTGTGTGGCTCTGGCTACTGGGCTGGGAGCAGCTGCTGCTGCCAGGCGGAAACACTCGGCGAGTCTTTCCTAGACAGCTTTGAATGGGAGCCAGGAGCCCTCTCACTACAGGAGAAAATCCACGAGGTCAGGAAATACAGCAGCAGCAGCTCCCGCTCCATGCTGGGGCTGTTGGCTTGGCATGTGGATTTCAGCTCTCCTCTTTCGAGATGATGCTCCCGAGTGGCTCTCCTCCTTGCCATCTCACTCAGCTGTTGCTTGACAGCTCTTTGTGGCTTTTGGGGTGTGCAGTAGCTGAGTACTGCAGAGGTGATAAACTTGGATAGGCAGGGGAAACACTAAGTGGTGACCTGGATCAGACCTTTCAGATCTGCCGAAGAATGGAAGAAGCTGCAGAAGATGGAAGAAACTCTGTTCCTGCTCTGTGTGGAACTGGGAGGCTGTGCTTTTGTGTTTCCCTCTGTAATTTTGTGGTCAGCTCTGTGTGGGCTCTGTCTTAGCTGCAGAGTAATAGAAACTGGAAATCCTCACATCAGGAGAAGCTTTCACAACCACCAACAGTCTGTAAACGTCCATCTGGTGTGTCCCCAGCATGAGAATTTGGGGTGTCTGTTACAGTTGCTCTGACAGGAGCCCCATGCTCTCTTCTCTGCTTCTGGATTTTAGGAAGCCAGAAACATTGTCTTTGGGATGGCTTTTCCATGAACCAGCCTCTGTGGTGGGGGTGGTGATGTTCATGTGGCATTGAGGTACAGCCACGCCTTTGTTGAAACCATGTGTGCATTGATGAGAAGCCTTGTTCTTCCCATGTTGAGGAGCAAAAAGCGTGATGGGGAGCTGTGAGATGGTGTTGGTAAGGTCAACTTAAGGATAAGATTGGCTGCCCAATCTTAGCAGAGTTTGGCCATATGGAAATTCCTGCTTTCCTTACAGCCTTTGGCCAGGTTGCTTCTTTTGTGGCATTTGCACATGTTCTGATGTGCAGTTGGGTGTGCATGCTGCTTGTGAGGAGTTTGCATTGTGGATTCTTTGGGAAAGGAAGCAAGCTCATCTGAACGTTGATTTTAACACATGTTAATTCGGGCAGCTCTCATGCCCAGAGCTGTCCATCATTCCCCACACTCTCGCTCTGCATTAGGACATGTTTTGCAGCAATGGTAGGAAATGGGTGGGTAGGCTGGACTTGCTATCCTCTGCAAGCTGCAGAATCTCTTCTGCCATTGTTGGGGCAGGGATGGCATGCAGAGCAGTGAAGAGTTAGCTGAGACTGGCACCTTCTAGGTATGGCGTGAGCAAACACCAACTGTTGCAGAGTTCTTGTGTGTAAATTGTCTGTCTGCTGGCCATGAGTAACGCATTAGCAATAGGTCCTTTGCCCCTCTCATTTCCCCTGCCTCTTGGGTGGGTGTGGAGCAGGAAGATGTGGGTCTGTGTTTCTCTGGAGGAGCCAGATCTCAAAGCTCTGGGCTAAGGTGGTGATGTGCAGGGCTTGCTGGTGTGTGGCTGCCCCTCTGCTGTGCAGTGGAGCTCACCTGTGGTCCTGAGCAGAGTAAGACCCTTAAGCTGACATGGGTGACCACGTGGCCCCCACCTCCTGCTGCAGTGTGGACCAGAAGGCTGGTGTGGCTGCATGGGCTAGGGGTCTTCTGAAGGGATAGGCAATGTCTTCCGCTGTGCTGGTCTTGAGGGAGGACTTCCTCCTTGAGAACTCATGTCTTCTCCTCCCTGTATTGAGTCAAGGCTTTTCTCACTGCCTTATAGCAAGTCCTATAGGCCTGGGCAGTTGTGTAGTCCTTGAGCATCATAGTGGCAACTGCTTCATCATCAGCATCAGATACAGAGCAAGGTCCATTGTAGCCACTGCAGGCCTTTATTTACAGCCACCATGTGTTTTGCTGGGGGCTGCAGATCTCCCTGCTCTGTAATGAAAGATGGGAGCTGGTTGCAGAGTTTCTTCAGACCCTCAAGACCCCTCTGTGTTCAGCAGTGAAGCTGTTTGCTGCAGGAGCGATCCCCTCCTGGCCAGCAGTGTTGGTGGAGATGGTCAGTCAGCATTTGTTCCTCAGTCCCCATTTTATCCTGTCACTGTCCCTCATGATAATTGTCTCTGCCCAGAGAGATAAGAAGCCTGGGGTGGGCATCTCTCTTGTCCCTGAGAAGCAGAGTATGTGAGAAGGTCACAGACGTGAGGGTGTGCATTAATGGAGCAGAGCAATGTATGCGCTTAGGTTCTTTCCTGTAGTCTTGTTTTCAGTCTGCATCTCTTCCTTGGCTGCCAGAACAGAGGCAGATCAGACTTTCCCAGGAAAAAGTGGCACATTTGGGTAGGCACTTAGGGTATGACATTATTTACACTTCATTTTCCCCCTCCCATCACCACTTTTCCATGGTGTTTTACTGCTTCTCCAGCAGTGAAGAGCAGCACAGCAACCAGAGGTCCTGGTTAGGGTTAGGGTGGCATCATGTTTGTTATTTGGTTGCTCCTTGGCACCCCCTCCTTTGTCTCTCTTTAGTATCCTGGGTGCTGAGAAGGGCATGAGCTTTGTTTGCCTTCCGACTACGGAGACAGCAGCTCAGAAACGGGCTTCGGGAAGAGGTGTTTGTGTCCGACTGCTCCCAGCTCGAGTGGGTGATGGAGCTGTCAGAGTGGTTTAGAGTTGCAGTCAGGTGGGGATTGAAGGCAAAAGGTTCTGGCCTCCTTGCCATTAGATTTCTGCTGCGTTAGCAAATGCATTAAATGCAGTCTGGGTCTAGAGTGGCCGTTGCTGGCACAGTTCGTACCAGCTTCCAGAGTTTTGGGAGCAGGGCTGGCAAGCCTTGGGAGGAGGATTGAGTGATTTAACTGTCTGGGGTGGGGACAAGGAGCGTGTTCTAATCCACGTGCAGTAGCGTTGCAGGCAGCGTTGAAGGCTGACTGTCATGGGGAACTGAGAGCTTGTCTTCCTGCTACCTGCTGCATTTTGGGTGCTTTCCCCAGAGCTTGCAGATGGCAGCTGAGAATGAGTGTTGGACCCTGGAGTGACTTTCAGAGGGCAGGGCCTACAGTCCAATGAGGATGGATTTCTATTTAAACCTTTGAGATTTTGTAATCTTCCTGCAATAGTTCCTCTTTCTCAGTGGGCTTGGAGCAGAAGTTTAAGGGAGGAGCTGGGGGGATGTGAATTTTCTCCTGCTGACGGGCTGTAGCAAGTACACAGTACTGCAGAAGTGCAGTTTGCTCATCCTGGCCCTAGTCATCATTTCTCAGTTAGAGCTTTTCATGGCAGCAGCTCTTTATTCCCTGTTGGGCATGCCAACTTCATCTCTCAGGAGCAGGGGTGCCCCTTCTGCCGGCCTCCCTCTCTGATGGCCAGCACAGTGGGAGGCACCGTTAGCTGGAGGATGGGCAATGGGTGTGGATGTGCCACTGTCTCAAACCTGCCATGTGGTTTGAGGCTTAATGCAGCCTTGAGGGTGTAAGACATGGCAGTAACAGCATATTTGGGTGGGGCTGGATGTTTTTCCCTGCTCCTGTGGGAATTGACATCCCAACCTCATTGTCCAAGGGTTTCAAATCTATCAAATGATTGTCATCTTGAGGTAAGATAAATCAGGGACAACACTGAACACTTCTGCAAAACCAGACCTCTTAAATTGATTACTTTAGGGGTTGATTTACACTGCATGTACCTCTGTCTTCTCATCAGTAACACCTCTTGAAGTTTGCTCAGGGAATCTGTGAAGTTTGCATTCAGACTGTCAGGCTGAAGGATTGCAACATGCCACAAGATAAACATAGTTTTTTATTCAGTTTGATGGATTATTTTGCCCATGTTAAAGTAACTTCTCCTAACATGGTGACCATGTTTCTCCTTGCAGGTGGTGGTGCTCCTGGAAGTCCTGAGCTGGGGTCAGCTGGAAGATGACTGAATACAAGCTGGTGGTGGTGGGAGCAGGTGGTGTTGGGAAAAGTGCTTTGACGATACAGCTCATTCAGAACCATTTTGTTGATGAGTATGACCCCACGATAGAGGTAAGTGGCTCTGGGCACAGGGTCTGTCTTGTCTGCATGTTTTCCTCTTGCTGTTTTCCACCTTGTCTCCAACCCAGAGCATACTCAGTTTGGTCTCAAGTCTGAACTTGATTAGGAATGTTCGTCTGCTTTGCAGAGCTATTCTGAGTCACTACATTTGTGTTGAGAGGTCACAGTGACCGATTTGTGTCTCCTGCAGAAGGACAGTGATGTCTGCTGAAGAGAGATGACACAGGAGGCAGCAGAAGCAGGCAGAGCTGGGCAGGTGCTGAGAGGCAGCAAAAAAGTCCTCTTTTCTGATGAGATGACAGCATAGGGAGGGATTAAAGGTTTGGGATTGAAGAGCCATTTTGTGCCTGTGCTTCCATTTCTCCTCCTGTCAAATCAGAGTAAATATATTGACTTTTTCTGCAGGATATTTTGAGATTTACTGATGAAATGGATTTTACCAGAGCTTGGTTGTATTATGTATGTCCTGCAGTTTGAGATGTGCCAAGCAGCTGAACTGTTGTGGTTCACAGAGTGCTGCCTCTGCTTCATCGCCAGGAGTTAGAGGTTGATGTGTGGGTTTCGCAGTCAATGTGGATGGTAGCTCTGACCTGTCTAGCTCAGCAAACTTCCTGAGGAAGCAAGCAGGGACCCTGTGGTCTTCACAGGCTGTATGGGGGTAGAGGGGGATCTGGTCTTCAATATCCATTACACTATTCTTTTTTTTTTTACTTTTTAAAAACATATTCCATTCTCTGTCTGCTATCACTGCAACTAGTGGCATGTTAATTAGCCTCTATGTGACTTACACCTTTGTTGGGGGAGATGTGGGTAGCAGCTGCTGCTCTGCACAAGGAGTAAGTCCATCCTGGGAAGGCAAATTGCAGCTCTGTCATGTCTCTTGGACAATGACCTCCCTGTCTGCAGTCCTAAAGAATTCTCTGCCAGATGCATATAAATACAGCTGTGGTTGCCGCAGTTATTATTATCATAATGGCTAAAGGCCCCAGCTGGGACCAGAAATCTATTCTGGTAGGTGTTGTATGTGTAGTCCCCACTCTGAAGAGCTTACAACTTAAATAAACAAGCAAGACAAGGCTTGGTAGAAAGGCTGAAATAGTCTTACAATCCTACAGACAGGAAGGAGGGAAAGCACTTAAAAAGCACATGCTATTATGTCATTTGGCCAAGGTCACCTAGAAAGTCCATGGCAGAGACTGGAATTTAATTTAAGGGCTCCTGAGTCTCCTTGCTTATGGATGCAGTTGCCTTGTTCTCCAGCTCCTCTCTCCTCATGTGCTCATCCCCAGTAGCACTGTATACTTTTCTTAGAAACCCATTCCAGGTTGTTTTCAGCAAGAGCTGCTGGTGGAGAGCAGCCTCCCTGGGGAGACATCTGCATGGATGAGTCCTCTCTTGGACCTTAGGTGGGCAGAGGCAGCTCTCACCCTGTGATGTGTTGGGTTTTGGCATCCTGTGTTTTTTGTCTCCAGCTGCCTGCCCCTTGTATGTACCCTGCAGGGAATTTTCTCCATGTAAACAGGCAGTGGGGAATGTAAACCTTGCATGGCATTTCCCAGCACACCCTCCTCACCCTACCCACTCCTGCAGTGCCCCGGGAGATGCCTACTCTCTCCTCCCTTGTTCCCTCCAGCCCCATTCTGTTCTTCTCCTCTTCCAAAAGCTCTTTAGCCCTCTCGCCCCTGGTACTTTTCCACCTGCAGGTCCCACCAACCCTGATGCCTTTGCAGCTCCCTTGGTTATACTTCCCTTCCCCTGCTACCCCAGCCATCTTCTCATACATTTTAGGAGACTTCTTTTAATTATGCTTCATTTTATGGGGATTTAGGACACACAGAAAGCTACCTGCCAGCCATCCAAATGTGACCAACAAACCACCCTCCTGTGACTAAGCTGCTTTGGATCGTGCCCAGGAGCTGACTATGACTGTTCAGCCAGCTAACAAGCAGCACAGCAATGCTGAAACGAGCAGGATAAAAGGGGGCAAAGAAGAGTATATGTGCATGGAGCAAAGGCATTGCCTGTCACCCAAATGGACTGAGCTCGGGTTGTGCTGCAAAGGGGTCAAGTGAGTGGGTCAAGGTGCACTGAGAAGATGCTCCCCAGGGCAGGAGGGTTTTGTCCCCTGTCTGGGGCAGAGACCCTCACTGGATGCCTGCTCCCCTCCTGCCCTCCTGACTCACTATTGCAAACGTTTGGCCCTGTAACTCAACACTGTCCAACCCACGACAGCACATGTTCTCATGCCTACTCTTTTACTGCTGACAAACCTTAAGACCTTGATTTTGGGAACAGGAGGGCCGGGGCTCCAAGGAAATGTATGCTACTGGCATTGTCCCGTGGTGAATAAGCAGGGATGGAGTAAAGAATTTCACTGTGTTGAGAAATTCTTTGGTTCATCTTCCAGCTTCTAGCAGCTGGCTAGTAGTGGGCTTCCCAAGCCTCTGATCATATCCTGACTGTAGCGTTTGACAAGTGGACGTCTTGGCCTGGACCCCCAGCACATCCGGGATGCTCCCAGCATCTGCCTGGGATCCTGAGTCTTGAACGCCAGACAGATGTTGTTTCTGCTGCCTGGCACTTCACAGCTGCATCTGGCTGCTTTCCCCTCTGCATGAAGGTAGGGTAGGATATGAGGGGCTGCAGAGGAGCATTGAGGCAGGGTGCTGATGTGGGCTGGTGGCAGCTACCCCTGCAGTGGCAGCCAGGTCACCTGGCAGTGTGGCTGAACTGCCATCCTGAGACAGGGTTTGGATGAAGCTGCACAGAAAGCAATGATGGGGAGAGCTTGTCCCCTTCCTTTGCAGGAAGCAAAGCATCCTCTGCAAGGCAGTTAATGCTTTTGCCTTTAAGCAAGCTAGCTGGCCTCACGGGCAGCCTGTTGATGACCTGAGCTGAGGTGTGGGATCTCTCCTCCATCTGCATGCTGTATGCTTGAGAGACCTCCTATAACAGGGGACTTGGCAATTAATTGTGAACACGTGTGCCAAGAGCCTGGTCCTCTGTACACAAGCCAAGGTGCAGGGGTGGGAGGATGCCTTGCTGGGCAGAGCAGGCACTAGGGTCCCCTTGCACCAAGGAGGCTCCAGATACATTATTGATTAGAAACGGGAGCACATTCCTGCAGGGCAGCCTGCCAGTTGCCTTCAGAGTGGTTGGCTGGAAGCCAGCCCATCACTCGGTGCTTATTCTCAATGGGTCAGCAGTCCACTTTTTGGGAAGGCACAGCTGAGAAGGTCGTGGCAGAGCAGATCTCATCTCTGATTTCACAGCCCTCTCTGCAAGGTGAGGAAAGACTTTAATTAGTCCCAGCAAATGATGTTGTTTAGTAATGAACCAAAGGATGGAGGCTGTGTTGGCCCCATTCCCTTCCTGTGCTGCTGTTGGTCCTGTTGTGACCTTTGCTGTGTCGGCTGTTTGTCTGCAGACCTGCAAAGCTCATCTGATAACATTGTTGTGGTCACTGGAAGAGCAGCCGACATTTGAATTAATTTTAAACTGCAGCCGTAGCCTCTGCGAGTGGTTGCAAAGCACTGTTGTGGTCATACCGCTGACTTGCACCTTTTTCATATCTTTCATTTTGGCTTCTTTCTCTTGCTGGGGGTTGAGGATGCTGCACTGTCCACAGGGGATGGCTGTTAGAGAGGGAGGAGGCTGTCCTCCATGCAGGGGCTGCCCCAGCAGCATCCCTGCCGATGGGACTGAGCACGGGGAGAGGCATGGTGGGAAGGAGCAGTGCTTTGAGAAGCCTGCCTTCAAAATAAAACCTTTTGAGGGATGCCCTAGGTGATTTCCAGGCCTCCTCACATCTGTGATAAGTTGTGATTGCCTCTGCTGCAGGGAAAACCCCCAACTTGAAAGGACCTGCCTGGATAGTTCTTGCCTCTCCTGGAGCCCTCTGGGCACAGACTGGTTGTGGGAAACACCCAGCTCACAGCATGATTTTATTTTATTTTTTTTCTCATGTTTAAGGAAGAGGTTTACCATCAAACCCAGTCTGCAACCTTACTGGTGGCATATTGCCTCCAGTGCCTGATCTAAGATGCATTGGAGGCACTGGATTGCCAGGTCACTTTAAACACCTTCTAGTCCTGCAGATTACAGATGGTGGCTGGAAGCCCTGGCTGGCTGGAGCCTCCTCTCCTTAGTGTCCCCTTCCAGCACCCAAGCAGGGTGGCAGCAGAAGGGATTAGAACTGGGACTAAATAATGCTTAGGAAATAGTTGCCGAGGGTTGTGCAGTGTGGTAGAGATGAAGCTGTGCCTGGTCTGCCAGAGGCAGGGCTGGGAATGTGGAGAGCAAGCCAGGAGCTGTCTTCTCTGTGGCTCAAACAGACCAGGAGAAACCTGCTTAGCTACTCCCTTTTTCCTTTGTGTTTTTTTGTTTTGTTTTGGTTGGTTGTTTTTTTTTTTATTATTATTTTTCCTTTTCCTCTCGTTTTTGAAACAGATTGAGTTGTCTCTTTAATGGAAGCTAAACGCAGGCCGAGCGTGACCTGGCATCTTCCCAGGGATGCACTTGCTGCATCCCTTTGTTTAGCCAGACTCAAGCCCTCTCTTAATGCATCCTCCTCCCTTTTCTCCCTCTTGTGGCCTTCAGGATTCCTACAGAAAGCAAGTAGTCATTGATGGAGAGACCTGCTTGTTAGACATCTTGGACACCGCAGGGCAAGAGGAGTACAGTGCCATGAGAGACCAGTACATGAGAACAGGGGAAGGATTCCTGTGTGTCTTTGCCATCAACAACACCAAGTCCTTTGAAGATATTCACCAGTACAGGTCAGTATCCTGGGAAGGGCCCTTTTCCTCTTGCCCTGTGCAAAGGGGAGGCCTTGCCTCTGCACCCTCCTGCCCACCCTTTTAGATCAGGCCCAGTGGTGTAAGCACTGGCTGCCAGCAAAGACAATTAGCTCAAGTGGCCATTCCCCAGGGAAGAGACGGAGCAGACGGCTAATGTCAGTGACTCCAATAAAGCCCATCTGAAGGGATTCCTTGTGGCCTTTGGGGACTCGGTAATGTAATGTTTAAGTGTTTATGGTGACTAAAGAGAGAGCTGATCCTGTATGACCCCCTCCTTTCCCTCCCTAATTAGTGGAATTGCTTTGTTAGTGCAATCGATCTCCGGGACTTCTGCTGGGCCCTGGAGCTGGGAGAGGAGGCTGAGAAGGGCAGGGAGGGCTGCTTGCTCTGCTGTCTGCCCTTGTGATGAGGCTGTAGTCTGCCAGCTGCACACATGCAGGGAAAAGCAGTCCTGCCCCTTTGGAGCTTGGTTTCAACCAGGGCAAAGACTGAGCAGGAGGGGAATCAGGACCTCAACGAGGTAATTTGCCCAAGACAATGTACGGGGAAGCGGTGACAAAGCAGGGACCTCATCCCGACATGGTCCTGCTTTGGCAGCACCTGAGTAACTCATCCCACTTCTCCTTGCTGACATCACCCCTGCAGAGCTGGAGAGGTAAGGAGCTGATACAAACACAGCAGGAATCTTTCCTGTTTATCCCGATGCTTAGGGAGGGACCACTCTGCCTTGTGCCTTTTTCTGAGGCTTGGCTGTGATGGGAGGCACTTGCAGAGGATGCAAGAGATGGCTCTGCCTGTCCCTGCTCTGTCCACTGCCCACCAAGGGACTGTGTACCCCAGTCCCCCACCATAAACTGCCGTTCCAGTAATCCTGTTGTTCCAAGCACAGCACAGCCTTTCCTTGCTCCATAGTCCAGAGGTGCTGCTCTGAGCTGTTTCAGTCTCAGTGAGCAGGCTGTTCAGTGTAATAGCTGCACAGGTGGACTAATTTGGCTTGTTTTAGCTAAACTGGAGGACAAAGGATGGGATTTTCCTAAAGCACCTGAGGGATTAAGCAACATTCATCCTTGTGCTGGGACTGGTGCCTGTGAATTGCTTGCAGGATGGCACTATTTCAAGTCATCATGATCGTGGTTTAAATCACTGGCTTTCATCTCCTTCAGCCTCTGCTCTTTGTGTTTGCACTTTTAAAGAATATTCCCCAGAGAAATGCTGGCTCTTCCTGGTTAGTAACCATTTGAAGATATCTCTTTTCAGCTAAGTGTAGCCTGTGCACTAAATTTAGTACTTGCATTTGCTGATCAGGATGTTACATGGAACATTTAAATGGCTTTATGGCATATCATGCATATAGTTAGACTTCATTTCTATGTTCTACTTCATTAAAAAAAGATAATTGATTCTTTTGTATGTGATACATGTCCAGCTGCCTTTGGATGGAAATTTGCATTAAATTAAAATGCAGAAATTGGCATTTTAAATAATGCTTTTATTAGTTTAATAAAACCATGTTAAATGTTCTTGATGCATGAGCAAAAAAAAAAAAGCTAAAGTTAAATGATTTATTAAGCAAAGGAAGTTATTATCTATCAGAAGGGAATTGAATGGATTGCTTGTGGTCATAATGGACTTTAAGAGTTTTAGAAGTGGTAGATCTCATCCTCGCCCACCTAGTTTTAGATCCAAGGTTGGAATGAAGAAGTGAGCATTACAGTTTTTTTAGTTCCCAATTGGTTTCTCAACTTTGAATGACCTGAACCAAACTGAGAGGGAGCAAATACTGCCTGTGCATCTGCAGAAAAGGTTACAGCTACCAAAAGCTGCTCTATCAGCTCAGCAAATTCTGATTGCAGTTGATTTTTTATTGTTTTTATCCCCATTTTGGGGAGATTACTTGATCTAAAATGTTGGTAGTAGTACAGGTAACTGCTCGAGAATTCATTTTTATTTAGCTTAAACTATCTTAAGGTCATTTCTTAATATAGTTTATCATAATTCGAGTTGTTTTGTAAATAATTGCAGTTAAAGAGCAGAAGTATGTTTAGTTTTCATTTCCAAAAGTGCCCTAGCTATTTTGCTTTTTATTCACTTGTGTGCCATAGTCATTTACATTTTCCTGAAAGCCCAACACAAAGCACTTGACAGGAGCAAGGCGTAGCTGTTGATTCTTGACAAAGAAGCTGGTGGGGATTGTTCTGGAGCTGCCCCTGATGCCTTTTCTCCCTTTACTTTGTCACTTCTTCCTGTTTCAGGGAGCAGATCAAGAGGGTGAAAGACTCAGATGATGTTCCTATGGTGCTGGTGGGGAATAAATGCGACCTACCAGCCCGGACAGTGGAGACTCGGCAAGCGCAGGACCTGGCCCGGAGTTACGGGATCCCCTACATAGAAACGTCTGCCAAAACCAGACAGGTAGGAGGAGGGTTTTAAACAAAATGTTCTTCTTGTTTTCTTTTCTCTATTGCTGCCCTGGAATGGCAGGAACAGCTTGCAGACAGATGGGTGCAAGGGCTGGGGTTCGTTGCTTCTTCAAGGCTAAGTGCTCCGTCAGGATGTTCTCTCCCCAGTCTGGGCTTGAGCCTCCAGCCTGGAGAAATGCGTAATTCATGCTCTGGCAGCAGTGATACTTTCTAAGGCCTTTCTCCCAGGCTCTGGAATAACCCCCATAAGTCATTGCAGGTCAGCTAAGCTCAGGGGCCTTGGCTAACCTCATCCGTCATCTATTTTGGCAGACCTACAGGCAGAATATACCAGTGCTGGAAGGACCATGTGGGGCTCCCAGAGCACAAAGGTGGAAATGGAACAGCTGACACCTTCAGTGGTCCAGTGGTGGCTTTTCTCTTGGTGGTAGACCTCATTTAGACTGCTGAAAGCTGATGAAACTCAGGGACTTGAGAGCTCTTTGACCTCGTGGTTGCTCATTCAATCATGCTCTCTGTTCGAGGGCCACACTAAGTCCTTGTTAAGTCTCCCCAGCTTGGTTTTCTGCCTTTAACTCTGCAATTTGCACTGCTGGAAGACAGAGCTAGGAACACCTTGCTGGGTAGCAGAGCCCTCTCTTCTCTCCACTGTCCCCTCTCAAAGTGGGCAGCTGCTTGGAGTGATGCTTTTTTCCCCAGGGCGTTGAGGATGCCTTCTACACCTTGGTGCGGGAAATCCGTCAGCATAAACTGCGCAAGCTGAATCCCCCAGATGAGAGTGGCCCTGGCTGCATGAACTGTAAATGTGTGGTATCATGACTATGGTGAGTTGTGGAAGCAGGAGATGTGGTGCAGTGGGGTTATATCGGCAGCAGGCGATGGAGTGCCATGGAGATACGTTGGAAGCAGGGCAGGTGGTGACTACAGATGCACTTGTCTGCAAACAAATGCAGCAGAAACGATTTCAGCAGCAGATATTTTTTGAATGAAACACCTTTTCATTGAAATAGCAATGGTCAAAATTCCCACTTTCCTGGGGAAGTGTGGGAGAGGAAGGCGTTGTTAATTTCCCCCCTCATTTTGTAAAACAAGATTCTATAGAACTGATTTTTTTTTTTTTAAAGTATGTTTTGTTGTGCTTTCCCCAAGAAAGCTTGTTCCCATGTTGCTGCTCTGAAAGAGAAGTTAAGCTGGTGTTGAAGCTGTACAGCTCAATGCCTGCTCACCAGACTGGCTCTAGAAGAGTTCAGATGAAGAGCTGGGTGGGTGCATTGCCTTCTAATGCACTCATGAAAATTGCCTCATCCTAAAGCTGTAGAGCAGACCTGTCTTGCTGTGAAAGTCCTGCGTTCCTCAGAAGAGTTTTCCCCATTAGATGTTTCCCCTGGGATATTTGGAACTGATGCAATGTTGAGAATTAGCCATAAGGGGGCTGTTTTGCTTTTATAAATTGTGTGTGCTGGAGCCAGAAACAGCGTTTTTCAGATTGTTTATGTTCACTTGCCTCTTTTTCTTCTTTTTCTTTCCTTGTTATTTTTTTTTATGATGAGTTTATTTAAATCATTGCAATCCTGCTGGATAGCAATCAGGGAGAGCTCCTATTGTTGTCCCTGCTGGTCTTAAACCAAAGGCCTGTGAATATCTGTCTGTGTAACCAACTCGTTCCATGGCAGAAGTGGAGAGAGGGGCAATTGGGGATGAGATCTGTATCTCTATCTAAGGACATCTGGGACTGGAATGTGGGAGAAAAGCCTGCATGAACATTGCCCTTAATGTCTTTTGGGGAGTCTCCCAAGCATCTGGATTGGCCCTTCACCCCTCTAAACAACTGCTGGAGTCCTAAAGAGAAGTGCATTATATCCAGAGATGGTGCTAAGAGGGTATCCTGAAGGTGGAAGTGGTCAGCTGGTGGTTGCCTCCATTGCTTTTTGAGCCAAAGGCTGTGAGCACATCAGAGCTCTTCCTCCTACCCCTCACCCCCCAAAAAAAAACCCCAGCAAACAAAAAATGCTGGCACTGTTTGCTTCCTATGAGCAGAAAACCACCCAAGGACCCCACCCCTCTGCTCCCAGCTGAGGCACGTGAGGTCATCTGGGGGCCGAGCCAAATGCTGTGCCCAGCACACTTATCACTACTAAGGGAGATTTTCCAGATGTTTGGGTCCTCCAGATGTTCAGGAGCGTTTCCTCCGGATGGGGATGTGAGCTCAAGGCTCGTTTCTGCTCTGGCTCACAGCTGACAGCATGGGCTTGGCAGACACTGCTGCTCCCTTACACTGTCAGGAGCCTAGTCCTTGTCACAGCCCGGTGGCAGCACTGGTGTGGGCAAGAAGGGGAGGGAAGGAGTCTCTTGGAAACACTCCTCTCTCTTAAAAGAGCATGCCCTGTGAGTTGCCCAAGTCTTTTTCTGCTCAGACAGAAACTGGAAACCAGACACCCCAGCTTACTCTAGCTGCAGTGGCTGAGAGCAGGGAGGGAGGAACATCAAAGCACAAAGGGAGAAGTGAGGCAAAGACATGCTGGGATCTGGGGAGGGGAAGGGTGGGTGTGTGGCCAGGGAAATTTGGTTGCATTTGCCCTGGATTCACTTTGTGGTTCCCATCATCCCTGGAGGAGGGGGGAAGATCTTGCCAAACAGTGCCCCTTCCCACAAGGAGGTTCAGGCAGAGGCAGAAGGTCTGGTGAGGTGCCCGGGGCTCACCCATCACTCCAAAGCTTATTCCCTTCAGCAGATGTGCAGATGCTTTGCTGAGCCAGGCCCAGGCCTCTGAGACCTGTGCAGCCTTTTGCTTTTCTCTGTGGGCACTAGCAGAGTCATTCCAAAATGTGAGGAAATTGAGAAGATGGAAACAGCCTCGATGGTTCTGATGGTGAATGGGTGCTAATGAGTGTCCTCTTCTGGTTTCAGCTGACTGGACCATGTCTTGGAGAGGTTCCCACTGTGCAGTGCACAAGGATGGAGGTGAAGCAAAGGAAGAAGCAAACGGATTCAGAGGAGGAATATGGGGGAGGGGGAGAGGAGGAGGAGGAAGAGGACAGGGTGAGCATGAGCCCTCCAAGGACTATCTCACACTTCACCCAAGCCTGCGGCAAACAACATTTTTTCTTTTTTATCCCCATCCCCTCATCCTTTGACGTCCTCCCACCCCGGCAACTGTACAAAGCCACAGATTGAATCACAGTAAATTATTATTTGATGGTCTCGACAAATCATCTTGATGGCTGTGTTCTCCTTCCAGAGGGTGCTGCTGCTGGTGCTCCTGAAGGATTGCTGATGGGATGGCAGGGAGGAAAAGGTGCTGATATTTGCTCTCCGCAGACCAAGGTCATGCTATAGATCATGAAGGTGATTGGGGTGGGAAAGACAAGCTGCCTTTCAGGGCAAGACAGCTTGTCTTTGTCTCCAGCAAGTTGTTGTCATGGTCCCGTCATCTCCAGCCCACCTGAAACTCTGCTGGCTCCAAGTTTTGGTAGGATGGAAGAATCCAACCAGTCCAAGCCTGTCCTCGGTGCTCACTTGAGTGCCTTGCTTTCAGCCTAGTTCTTGTGTGATTTTTTTATGGCCTCAGATGCAGTGCCTGGAAGAAAGAAGCAATGAGGAGGAGATCCAAAAGCCTGGTTCACTTCAGCAGGTGCCAGTTAGTTGCTTCTGTGACTTTTTTCCAGGCAGCTCTTTCTGGCACAAGACCTCCATAATGTGTTGTGCTCCAGGGTAGAATTAGGCCTTTCTGGTCCCCTCCAGCACCTAGCTAGTGCTAACACCTGTATAGTACATATACCTCAGGCTGTTCTAGTCTGTTGGCAGCATGTAAAAGTATGCAAATCCTCATCTGCCCCGTGCGTGGCTTCATTACTGGTGAGCACGTAGAGAAGGGCTTTCGTGCACTGCAGATAGCTGTCTGGCTGCTCAGCAACCAAGACTAAAGGATTCAGGCTTCCAGTCTTGGGTTTAGAGTAGGTAAGAGTGTTTTGGATAAGGGCTAATGTGTTGGGAACCCCATCTTTGCTCACCTCTGCTCCTCTGTGATTTTTGCCTGAGCTCTGACCTGTGTGCTTTTCACTCGCAGACCCAAGATGACGCACTGTGCTCAGTACTGCGGGTGGCTCAGTACTCACTGCCTTTCCCTCTCCCAAGCTATTGCACATGCTAATTTAGCTGGCATCCAGAATAAAGAGCACCAAAGGGGGAAGGTGATCCAGCTGAGTGTGGCAGAGAGCTGTTCTGCATGGGCTAGCCCAGGCCTGAAGAGGTGCTGGCTTTGGCAGCCAAGGCCGGTCAGGGTTGGGAGTGGCGAGGGCGGTGTGTGAGTCACATGCTTCATATGGCAAAACTGGTACAGAAACCCTGGTCACCCTCAGCACAAAGCCACAGCCCACCCAGGGGTTTCCATGTGAATAGCCTCCATCCCACTCCTCATCCTCCCTCATGCCAGGCAGCAGCAGAATTAAAGCAGCAGAAATTCAACTCCTATACTGCTTGGAGGTGCTGCCTTTGCTTTTGGCCTGGGCAAGAGAGGACTTGTGCTAATGGCTTGGGTTTTTGTACATGCCTGCTCCCGAACTGCTGTGGGGCACAGCCCCCACCCTGGCTGCAGCTGCCTGGCACCCTGTTCCCATAGGAGAAGGACTGATACCAGCTAGAGTGGGAGAAGTTGCCCAAGGGAAGAGCTGCCCTGCCTTTAGCTGGGTGTGCTATTTGCAGCAGTGCCTGTCCCTGTGCTGTAGGAGTGCTAAAGTTGCTGAGTCTGGTAGTACGTGGTGGGACTGGACCAGAGGCTCCCAGAAAACCTCCCAACCTAAGTTGTTTCAAGTGTGAAGCCTGGAAGAATGGTGTTTGTTCCTAAGTTGGCAACTTGTGTGCAACTTGTGTGCAGCATGGGGCAGAGGGCAGGGATACTTTGTCCTTCTAGAAGATGACTGAAAGCCTTGTAACAGTTAGTGGGGTGGGTTGACATGGGAGCCCTCGCTTGGTGGTGTTTCTGCACTAGGAACCTAGTGCTCTTTATCTGTGATAGAATTTCTCCCATCCTTCACCAGGCCCTTGGTGAAGGATGGGATAGCTGTATCTGGAGGCCTGCAGATGAGAATTAACACTATGTCTGGGGCTTTCTCAATGACTGGACTCTGGATGGCTCTAACCACGGAGAGTATTCTCTCATTTCTGGTTGGGAGCCAAGTGCCACAGTGAAGGACTGGGAGCTGTGGTTAAGCAGCTCCCCTGGGGAGCTCCTGGGAGCACTAGGAATGAGGTGTCTTTGCAGGGCAGGCACCAGCTGCAGTCACAAAAAACTGGCACGTCTTGGTGAGGGTGTGCTAGTGACACTGGCCAGAATGCAAACTACTTCAGCAGCTTGGTCGGGAGCAGGAAGCCGAAGTGGGAGCATCTCCCTTTCAGAATGGTTTCTGAACTCCTCAGAGTAAGGTTTTCCAGCTTGTTCAGGAAAGCTCCATGTCTGGTCAAGTCACATATGTTATCATAGCTTGTTTGAGCACCTGGTAGTTGCAAAATACTGTTGCTTCCTTGGACCACTCTTCCTGGCTGTTGCACCAAGAGGTGCTGAAAATGAGCTGTTTCATCCACAGGTCAGCATTCAATGTCACCATCAGGCACCAGACAGGCTTTTCTTCTCAGCAGAAGAATTCAGTTGAAACTTCAGAGCTTTCTTCTGTTGTACACTTCAAGTGATTTCAGATATTGACAGTTTGTTCTGGTGTAGCTGGTTGTAGTCCTGTTTTATGTATAGCTAAAGCAGACCTAGATGTGCTAGGAAACACTGGGCCTCTGCAAATGGCCCCAAGAGTTCTTCAGCAGCCAAGGTCTCCACCTTGGTGCAGGTGGTAGGACAGTGCTATGACAGGACAGCATTTCAGAAATCCAGTGGTCAGGTAAGAGGTAGAACTGGAGATAGCAAGCATCTGAGGAGGACCTAGCTGATGAGTAACATTCTGAGTCTGGCAGTTCACAGACCAGTCTTTGCAGCCTTGTGGATTGCACCCAGCAGAAGCAGGGCAGCCAGGACCCTTTTTCAAACAGTGCTGGTCAGTAACATGACCATCTCAGGAGCTGGTTAGCCTTTTGCATTAATTGGAAGATCACAAGAAACTCCAGCTTAGGGTCAAGTCCATGCTGAAAGCTGGAGATAGTTTGGGAGCAAAAAGCTGCTAAAAGCTTGACACCACAGCTCTTCTCTGGAAATCATGTTTTAATTGTGTATTAATGTAGTGCTGCATCTTTGTTTCCAGAAGGAGAATCGTGACAGATCTTCAATATGCAGTAAGATACATCAGCTGTGATCTGATCTGATCTTTTCTGTAGGCAAAAAACAGATTGTATCGCTTCTCTCAGGTGGAGCTGTTCCTCTGGATTTGGCTTTTTCACTTATTACCTTGGTGCTGGTAATTTGGGTACAGGACAGTAACTTGCTGGCCATGACAGGCAGAACGTCAGTATATGAGCTCATGATGTATTGTCTGCTTGCTAGCTGAACTTCTCAAGTCTGAAAGTAATGTCAGAATTTCAGTTTCACTGGAGTGAATGTAGGCCTGGAGAAGGAATTGTGGGGTTTGGAGTTGGTTTTTCCCATAGTTTTTTAAGGCACATTTGTTCTAGAAGTACATGGACTGGAATATGCAGTTTTCGGATGCTGCAGTCATTTCCCTTATGACAAGGAGTTTGTTGCCTGTCTCAACTCCGCTTCTGTGGCACAAGCTTAGGTGAGCAGAATGTACAATTATTCTGAAGGGCTGATCCTGTTGCATAGCTAGAAGCTGCAGGAGTCCACAGAGGAAAGCTTTTTGCTATATTTGACACATCAGCTCACGTTTGGCTGTTGTGATCTCTTCAGCTGGTCATGGCAAGGCTGAACTAAAGTTGGTGTTGTGCTCCAGCAAGTGTGAGCACCACTTCTGAGAAGGCTTCAGTCATCCTACTGATTATCTGTTGACACTGCATCTCCTGTGATGAAGGAGAACCACCTTTGAACCTGTACTTAAATGACAGAATAGCTGACGAGGTCTGTTCTAGTCTGGTCAGGTACACATGTCTCAGGATGTATAATGTATGTTTTTCTCTCACATTGTTCAAGAGCCTCACACCCTATTACAGGGGGGTTGGGGCTCTAGAGACATCACAGCTGAGTCAACTGAGGTAATTGCTTACAAGTCCTTAAAGATGCTGATTAAATGCTGGAACAGATCTCATGCCTTTTGGTCTCTCAGGGCTTCCACAGAAGCATTTTCCTAAGCCAGCAGAGATGGTGACGCCAAAACAGATGAGCACATGGTGCTTGCTGAAGGCTTTGGCAAGCACCTTGGTTGAGTTTTCAGGAGCTGGCAGCAATGGCTCATTGCTGGAGTGAGACCTGAGATGTGATGGTAGTGGCAAGGGTAGCTGAATGAAAGGCTTGAGTTTTATGGAGAAGCATTGGCTAAATGCTGGCCTCATCCTCCTCACCTGCAGTCTGGTTGGGTAAAGAGGAGCAGACCAGGTTTCCCTTCAGGACTACAGCCACTGCTGCAGACCTTTTCAGCCTAAGTGGTACTTCCAAGTGGCACTTTCTGCCTCCACCAGGAGCCATAAAGGTAAGCAAAGCCACTCCAAGAACCAGCTTCCCCAGGCAACTGCCTGCCTGAGGTTATCTAAGTCTGTCTGCAGGCTTAGGTATCCCAGGGGCTGGGCGCTGATGTGGAGCCAGGCTGTGGCCTCCAGGGCACCAGAGTGGCTCAGGCTCTTAATGGGATAGTTGGAAGCAGGGGCTTGTGGTATTGCACCCTGTCTATCCACAGGTACCTCTAAGGGACCTCATACCATTTTTGGACCAAGATGGAAGTTTCTTAGTTTACCTTTCTCTGTGTCTTAGGAGGAGCCTGTTTTCCTATGTGGAAGAATAGGGCTCAATAAGCCAGGCTTTGGTGACTTCAGTCCCTCAGATTCATGTCTTTGTGTGTACCTTCAAAGCCATCTCCATCACCATCTTGGGCTCATTTGTAACTGCTGCCAGTGAGTGAGGATGCTTGTGGGATGAGACCACCTGCTGCGTCAACTACTGAGATACTATTTCACCTCTGGTTTGCTTGTCTCCTGCACTGTCTTGGTGTCCACATCCTTCTAGGTGCACAGGATCCTGGTGTATGCCCTGTGGGCTTCCTCAGCTGCTGAGGTTGTAGGATTGGGGAGATGGTTTGAGAAGGGGTCAGACCTGCCTCTTTCA